GCAGGCGGGCGGCGGGAGGAGCTGGTCTGCGGCGGGGGGGCGCTCAGGGGGAGGCGGAGGCGTTTCCACGAGCACCAGAGAGTCGCGAACTAAGGAAGCGCGAGGGAACTCGCGCCCCGCCGTGTCATGACGTCAAATGTCATTTTCCTTCCATGCTCCATGACGTCAGGGCATAGGGCTGTGACTCGCAGGGCGTCAGGGAGAGTGCCGGGAGGACCAGGTCCTGCAAGGGCGAGAGGACAAGAAAAGCTTTCCTTTGGGGGACGGAGATTTCACACCCCGCCCCGTTTGGCACATTGTAATAACGTGTTAGTTTGAAGCCCAGCTAAAGAACGTTAGTTCTTTTATTAGACCGACTAAATAGCGGCAAAGAAGTTATTTGCAAGCAGCCCACCTGTAGCAGTGCACATACTTTTTTTTTTTTTGCCACTATTTAGTTGGTCTAAAAAAAGATACTGCCTCTACCGGAAGAGTTTGTCCACAACGACAGAAACACACTTGACTAATGAAACAAATGCAGCTGTCGGATAAGAAGGAATCACAACTCGTGGTAGAGGCAATCTCTTTTTTTTTACACCAACTAAATAGTGGCAAAAAAAAAAAGTTATTTGCACTGCTACAGGTGCCACTATTTAGTCGGTCTAATGAAAGATACCGCCTCTACCCAAAAAGTTCTTCGGCCTCTGTGGTTAAGCCAACACAGCTACAGCCTAAATCCCTTTCGGGAGTTGTGTCTTTCTTCCTCTTCAGAACATCTTCAAGGCTGGCATTTGCAGCTCAGGGCTGTGGGAAAAATCTAATTCTGCCCCTGTGGAAAGGAAAGAAAATGGAGGCACCGACAGAAGCTCCCTTTGGCGCCTCTTGCTGCCACCTGAAGACTGGCTTTGTTAGGGCCAACCCATCCTCACCACCCAATAGAAAAATATGTAGCAAACCATGGCAGTCAGGTCTGGTTTGGCTACTGACAAAATCGCGTCCTTGAAAAAAAAGTTAATGGTTAAAGTTTTAGACCAAGTTTTGGAGGTGTGCCCAATATTAACAACATAATGTGCTTGTGATTGATGCTGTAATATCATTGTACTCAGTTTAACTGCAGGATAATTGGGACTGGAAATGGTGAAGGAGAAGGAGCTGCCAAAGGGCTTCCATTAGAAGCTTTGCAATGGTTGGGAGCTAATCACGTAGCAGAGCAGCTCTGGAGCCGACTAGAAGATGCCTTGAAAGTGACCGAAACGAATCAGTTTCCAGGCTGCTAATGCCACCAGGTAGTGCCATGCTTCAAACCAGATGGCATGATAAACTGATTCTTTTTCATCCATCTCTGGCCAGTATCTTCTATACAATTAAATTCTGATTTTCAAAACATAGATGCCAGTTTTTCCTCAATTTTGCCATTTTTAACATCAGCGTATGTTACTGTTGTTCACAAAGTGACTAAGTGACTTGATTTCTGTCTCAGCTTCACCTGGTCTTGGGTAGGTCTCATGGTCAACTATTACATTTAAACATCTGCCATATTTTCATCTCCAGTTTTATTGTTCAGAATCAACAATTTAACAAAATCCTGGTAGTTTCAAGATTATTGTGACATTGGGTGATCATTCCACATGATTGAGAGCCTGATAAGATACAGCTCTGAATAAGGCTCTAAGGATTCTTTGAGGGGAAGTTAAACAGAAATCCTTGCAGGGCAGAACGAGCTAGTTCAAGGAACATTCAGAATATTTGATATTTTTAATGATCTACATCTGTTCTTTATCTTTAAGAAACTCTGCATACTACTTTGCATCTATCTGCTAAGCAAATGAATTCTGAAGAGTTAAGAGTTAAACTGTAAACCAGAAAGTTATACCAGCTATGAACTGACTGCCCAGAGGAGTTTTCCATCCATTGACTCCCCTGTGAAATCCTATGAAATATGAATTTCCATTTCTACCCAGGAGAACTTATGCAATCTTTTCTCCAATGCCTGATGAAGGATATTTGTGCTCAAAAGCTCACAATTAAAGATTTTTCTTGCAAAAATCTTTTTGGTCTAATAAAAGATATCTCTACTGTGAGTCCTGATTGCCTTAAATCAGAAAGTTAACACTTTTGGCAGTAAAAAGGTATTAGAGAAGACAGAGCAGGCAGATACAGGCAGTGTACAAGGAAACTGCAAGGTAATACCAATTGTCATAGTAGACAGTGACGTCAGCTGAACAGCAGTCTCACCATTTGTTTTTCTTCCTTTTTTTTGTAGGAAAGTTTTGAGGAGGAATTAAAAGAAAGATACTGTGTTTGTTTTGTCAGTATTTACAGGGACCTCCTCCCAATCATAAAAAAAAGTATGGGAAAAATCATGAAGGCATTTGTTTGAAATTGTAACAGCCAAAAAGTCTGGCATCAGGTGCAGATCAGCTGCAGAACACAACTTTTGATACTGCGTGTAACTTGATGATAGGATGGGATGGGTTAGGATAAGATGAAGGACCTTGAAAGTGTTCGACGGAGAAAGAGCGAGCCAATAAAAGATGCAAGGAAAGGAGTGATACTGTTAAGACAACAAACTAAGGAAATCATATTTTCAACAGCACTCTAAATAAATAGGAACATCCCAATGTAATTTATATAGCTTTATACACACGCAAACACACACACAAACTTCTTTCTAAACTGTTTAGCAATAATCTACCTGATTTACAATTAATTTTGCTATCCACTTCTGTAGGTAAGAATTTTGGTAGATAAAGTTATCAGAAATTAATTAGATGCTCAAATTAATGAATGCTAATGACAGCTTTAGAGTTTTCAAAGTTCTAAATTATTTATAATAAGGTCACAAGTGCTTCTGAAGCTTTACAAGTTCTTTAGCTTCCACAATAAATGTATGTTTCATCAGATCACAAAACACAGAAAATGCCTTACAAAATAATGTAGTAAAATGCAGTGTGTAGAATCCTGATGGTCTGGTACCTAAAATCATATGATTAGGTAGTCAGCATAGTAGAACATTTTATTTTCATCAACAGTTCTTGTCCCCTGGCCTTCACGCTGCATCTGTGGAAGAGTAGAATTTTGTAAATGGCTGTCCTGCCTACATACACTCTCTCCTTAGCATGACCCAAATCTATTTCAGGCCCCTTCTTCAGCACACTTTATTATTTAAACAGAGTCATGAAGTAACACCAAACAAAGTAATTTCCCTTACCAGGACAGACTGCAATCTTCCAGAGACCATGCCCTTTCCAGCCCCAGAAAGAGAACCCACTTCCTTAAATTCCCTGCAGAGACATATGACAAGCAGGTTTCCACTAAGCCTTTTTTGCCTGTTTCAATCCTTCACACCTACCTCCATCCACAAGGGTGGGGCCAAAACACACTGGCTCCTAAGTCTCCCCCTTTCCAGCAAAAAGACTCTGCATTCTGTTCTGTGGCATAGGGTGAAAGCCTAGGGCTACATACTCAGATACTAGCATAGTCAGCAAGGTAAGATCTCTTTATTGATTGCAGCCATTTCAGAGCAGGATGTTTGGTAACCAGAAAAGAAGTTGTCTTAAGCTGCTAATATCTCAAGACTTGGCTGCCCATTTTATTGCTAAAGTACTGATTCTTGAGACCCAGATATTTCTCTCTCTGGAAATAACTTTTCTACTGGAATAAATGACAAGTTTAACCCCACCAATCCAGATTCTGCAAGAAAGCACTTCAAAGCCCTACTCAGCTGTTTCCTGACAGAATGAACTTCTTCGTAGTCTAGAGATCCATACCTCCCGTTTACAGCAAAAGCTGTTTTAAATCTCCCCCCAAAGCACTAATAGTGCCCCTCTAGTCTCAGGTATAAGTTCATCTACTATCTTGTAGGGACTGAAGATTCTAACAAGATCTTCACATTAATGAACAAAGTATTTTCATTCCCATTCCCCAGGAAGAAGCCCAAAACTTTAGTCCCAGTATAACCAATCTAGAAATTAGCTATGTTGGGTATATCATTAAAGGTCTGTTGTACTACTGCATCCTTCTCAAGATGTTTTAAGAAGTCAAATAGGTCATTACATCATCATTATAAGCTATGCTTATACTTGATGGAATAAAACTTAAT